CCTTCCTCTGGAGTCACTCCACCGGTGCCGTGTCCTTCTGCTGTTGGGGGTCCCAGAGCTGGACACAGAACTGCAGCGGGGGTTCTCCCCAGCGCGGAGCAGAGGGGGAGAATCCCCTCCCTTGCCCTGCTGGCCACGCTTCTCTGGATACAGCTGGATATCTCGGCCACAAGTGCACATTGCTGCTCACATCCAGTTTTTCATCCACCAGTATCCTCCAATCCTCCACCAAGCTTCTCTCGATCCACTCATTCCTTAGCCCATGCTGATACCGGAGATTGCCTCAACCTATGTGCAGGACCTTGCACTTGGCCTTGAACTCCACGGGCCTGCCCTTCAAACTTGTCCAGGTCCCCCTGGATGGCATCCCTTCCCTAAAGCATATCAGCCACACCTCTCAGCTTGATGTTACCTGCAAACCTGCTGAGGGTGGACTCAATCCCGCTGTCCATGTCGTTGAGGAAGGTATTAACCTGTATCCTGCCACTGCAGCTCCCCAAGGACACCACTCGTGACTCATCTCCCTTCGGAGATCCAGCCACTGGCTGCAACTCTTCTGGACATGGCCATCCAGCCAATTCCTTATCCAACAAATAAAGGTGTCCTCAGATTACAAACTGGGGGGGAAGGGATGATCCACTAGGTTAAGGAAACCGTAGAGTATTTCCCCAAAGCCAGTACTGCCTGCCGCAACCTCGGAAGAGGCTGGTGCCCCGTGCTCCTCCTCCCTTGCTCTGGCTCCTACCTCCTCATGCTGCTCTCCTCCTTGGGCTGCGACTCATCCTGCTCCTCCTCGGTCTCCGAGTCATCCTCCGCCTGCTTTCTGCGCTTCTTCTCCTTCTCCAGCACCTGTGTGGCAAGAGCAGGGTGGGCTCAGCCCCCTTTTCCACTCAAGATGCTTTTTCAGGGGCCAACCCTGAGGGACCCAGAATCCCACTCACTGCCCCATCCCCACACCATAACCGGGAAAGGACCCCACCAGCAGCCCACCCCTTTCAATGACTTCAGGACCCCGTGAGCGCCGAGGGACACCTTCACCTCACCTTTTTGAAGTAGGCGAACTGCACCAGCTCCAAAGCCACCTCAGCATCCTGCAGATCAACAGTCTTGTTCATCCTGGCCTTGGCGTGGGCCGTGGAGAGGCGGATCAGGGTCTCCAGGGTACGGGCGGTGACAGGGGAGGTCTGGGAGGGACAGAGAGGTGTCTCTGAGGCCAACCTTCACGACAGCATCCTCACTAAGAGGTGTCACATCTGGGATGGACAGCACCCTTACAAGGAGAGGGGAGCCTGTGCCTCAGTTTCCCTCCTCCTGGTCAGAGAGGGAACTGCTCGCGGGGCTCACCCTGGCGATGTCTGAGTTCATCTGGCTCTGGCTGCGCAGGCGGGAGTACTCCTCCGCTATGTAGCTCGCCGACTCCTGCGTCAAGACGGGCTTAATCATCTTGGCTACGTGGAGGTACTTCCTCATGAACTCCATGCTGACGATCTTCTCCCTGAGAGAAACAAACCCACACCTGTGTCCTCCAAGGTGGAGGATGGGCAAAATGTGCTTGCAGAAGTGGGCTTCCCACTTTTTAACCCTTTGTGGGCATCCAGGTATGTGGGGAATTCAGCTCCAGGAGACGTTTCCCACCTGCCTGGCATGGGATATCAAGACCAGAGCAGGGCTCCCTTTGGTGTTCTGCCCACGTACCTCGCCACAGACCACCTGGAGCATCGCTGGCACCAGCCATCAGCCACTGCCTGGATACTCAATCCAATCCCTTCACCTCACAGTGCTGAAACCCTCCCCCAACAAGCTCCAGGGGACATGGGATGAAGGACTCACTTGCGGCGGTTAGGCCCGTGCAGGAGGTCATCATGTTTCTCATACACCTGGAGCTCCTGTTCCTCCTCCTGCATAAAGTCAGGGTCCTCCGTAGCCAGGATCTCCACAGCACTGCCGAGGGGCATGGCTGGAGAGGGGAGGGTCACAGAGAACAGGCTTTTAGCCTCCGGAGCAACTTCCAAAAGCCACCAAAAGCAGTCCTCAACAAAGACAGGGATGCTGAACCCAAAGAGCTGCCACCAAGGGGTGACAACCTGCTGAGGAAGGACAGGACCGAGCAGCAAGGAGGCTGTAGTTACAAGTGACTCACCATCCCCATCCTGTTCGTTGGGGTTGCGGTAGCGGTGCATCCGCAGGACGTGGTCCGAGATCTCCCTGTCCTGCTCGGCATCCATCTGGTCCAGCATGATGAAGAGCAGGTCAAAGCGGGAGAGCAAGGAGTCCTGCAGCCCGATGTTGTCCATGGGTGTCTTGTACTGGTCATACTGCAAGAGGAGGACACAAGGGGTTACAGGACACCCTCACAGGCCAGCCTTGGCTGCCAAGGAGGCTGAGAGGACCTCCTCAGGCCAGGCCTTAAAGGATGGATGTCCAGGCAGCTGGCCATCACACGAAACCCAGCCATCTGCAGCAGTAAGGCCTCTTTTCCCCATCGTGGAAGATGGGAGTAGCTCTCATTTGAAAAGAAGACACCTGTATTTTGGAATTCCAGACCAGACACCAAGACGGAGGCTCATCACCAGGATGACAGTCTGCTGGGCTGCCCTGAGACAGCAGAACCGAGCTGGGGTGAGAAACCTCACAAGCCCCCCTCCTCCACGAGAGCCGTGAGGAGCAAGAGACCAAACCAGGTCTCACTGCCCCATGGGTCCCAGTCCCAGGAAGAACCAAGCCACTGGTTCTGGGGGGATCTTTTAGGTTTTACCAGCTGCCTCCAGGTGCTGGGTTCAGTCAGGAAA